AAAAAAAAAAAAAAATAAGAGATAGATTCAGATTTAAAAAAAAAATATAATTATTTGTTATAAATAACAAATAAATTTAAATTTTTCTTTTACTTCTTAAGCGTCCCGTCACGATAAAACAGATTCAGGTCAATAGGAGGCGCTTTTCCTAAAACAGTTCTAACCTCTCCATAAAATTTATGGATGCCTTTGGAAGAATTCTAAAAGCTCTTTCGCAAATGTAGACAAACTACTTTTAATTAAAATCACCAGCTCCTCCGAAATGATCGTTTCTTTCTTCCCCCTCATAAAAATACGGAACCGAACAATTAACTAACCACGATCGAATCGATCGTGCAAAAAGGAAGAAAGAAAAGAAAAAGACAGAAATAAGAAATCAAGTTGAAAACTTGAGAACGAATCGGCCAATGAGATTCCATTTCAGCCGAAGTGAAAAGAAAAGAAAAAAAGAAAAAATTTCTTTTCATCTCGATTCCGTTAAAATAAATCGCATTTGTTGCGTATAATAAGCTACAATTATGAAGCTACGTATTAAATAAATAAAAAATCAAAAAAATTCGTTTTCTCACAACCGATTAAAATAAAATGAAATAAAACGAAAAGATACGCTTAATCGAATAATTTTTGCTCGATTTGAAAGCTCGATGTAACCTTTCTTGCAAGACCCATGCATGAATCGTGATGCAAAGACCTCTTGCTAAGGAGCATATCTCTCTGAAAACATCTCGTTCCACACAACACACGATTTTGCTATATGGATATATATGTATATATATTGTACATAATAATATCTATGATATTGTTGCAAGCAGGCATATTTAAAAGATCCTACTTGCGTTCCATTCGACAATAAAAAAACCCATTTAAAGAAAACACACCATTCACGAAACGTCGATTCTTTCTATTTATCGTCATACCATTTTCTTTCTTTCTTGCTCTTTTCTTTCCTTTTTTTTTCTCTAAACTCTATTACAGGTAAGTAGATCACAGATGATGATGACAGATTTAAATGGTGAAATAAGAAGTGAGCGAGAATCGAGTAAAAGAACGAGTTTTAAAGTTATCAGATGGATGACAGAGGCAGACAGACAGACAGACAGATATAGACAAACAGACAGAGACAGAAACATCGAGAGAGTTTTCAAGTACGTTATATATATAGACAGAGGCAGAAAAACTAAAGGTAATAAACTTTTATTATGCCACTACGCATTCTTTAAATTCTTTAACACACCCATGTTGTGTGTATGCGTATGTTATGTATACGTTACTTTCTCTGTGTGTGTGTGTGTGTATGTATGTACGGTTTTTTTTATGCATTTTGCGTGTATGTTTAAGAAACATTTCTGGTGATTGGATTCTCGGGTCTTTCTTCTCTAATTCGAGTCGAGCTGGTAGAAGGGAGGCAATTGGGGGGGGCCAAACATCAGCATTGTCAGATCAGGATCAAGGTCAGCGTACCGCCATCTTTATGGTGAGAATTCTAATCTAACAGAATGTTCAGCAGTTTATCTTTCTACGAAGTTAGTTATTACACTTTTAGAAGAGGGGATATCTCTCTTTCGATAATTTAGATGAGACGTACCCTCTTCTAGAATTATTAGAAAATTTTTTTATTTTTTATTCTTATTATGTATATATTTTACTGCAAAATGTTGTGTACCCATTTTTTAAGAATTTTCGTTTCTTCTTCAGATATTATTTATTTTGAGGTAAATGTAATTTTTTAATTACTATTATTGGGTATTCTTGGGAATTTTATTTCTTTTGAAATACTCTCATCCCAAAAAATTGAAATTATTACTTTGTTATTTAAAAAAAAAAATAGAAATTTTCATCAATAAATATTTTACATTTTGTAAAAGAAAAAAGAATCGAAAATTTAATAAATTCAAAAAATCGGTGCACAACCCATCACATACGATGTATATTTCCCTTGTCACAGGCCTATAATGAAAAGATTTATAAAAATTCCTTGCAACTACGTATCGATACAAATTTCTACGTATCTTGCAATCTAACTTCTCATGCAAAAGGTATTGTGCATCGAGGATTCTTTTTTTTCTTTCTTTTATTTAATTTTTTAATACATTACCGACCAACGATCGAGCACATTCCATGAAAACCACGGTAGAAAAATTCGATAAGTTCATTTCTGTCGATTTTCTATTTTTTATGGATATATTATATAAATCTCAAAAATATAATTAAACGTATGTACAGAGAAATAACTCAAAAAAAAATATCTCAAAAATATCTCAAAAAAGTAGATTACTACAAAAATTAAGTCAATTTAGAATTCTTTATCCAAAAAAAAAAATTCTTTTTTGGGGATCATATTAATTTTAAATCAACAAGATTCAAATTTTTGATTCATATAAATAAAAAATAAAAAACAATTGTTTCTCTTCGATAAATTCATCGAGGAATACGAATTCTTGTCACGCAATATGATCATCAAATTTTTCTCTCATGGTTATAATTACCTCAATCGTGGTAAAGAAATTGTTTGCAAAATTCGTTTGCCCTCTGATTCTGATTTCAAAACTCGCAGAAGGGAATTGGTGAAATGAAACGCGCGTGTTGGGTCGATAATGCGTTAAAAGTTCGACATTGGGAACGCAGTTTCCGTTATTTGGCCGGAAACGGAAGTGAAAGAAGCAATCTTCTGGCCGAACGCGCGATTAACCACGTATCGAAACGTGTTTCCAATTTTTTTTTATTTCGTTTCTTCTTTTTTCTTTTTTTTTGTTTTTAAAAATCAGGTCGCCAGAAGACACGTAGTCGTCTCTTTGATGAAGTGATACTAAAAAGAAATAAACTTCTATGTGAACTCTTTGTTAACGCATGCCAAATGCCAAGGATGCTTGCAATCCAATTTCAACACGTGCATTTCTCTCCAATTGTTCTCTAACGATATACTAATTTTTGGTATTTTTATTTTTATTTTTATTTTTCGTCTTCTTCTTCTTCTCGCTTCCCAAATTCTCATTACCTGTTTTATTCCTGTTTCACGTGTGTAATTGTATTGAGACGATTGTAAATTTCGAGGATTTGTGGCTATTAAATTTATTTAGAACGACTTAAATGACATTTATGTATGCAATAAATAAAATAACACGTTTTTCATTATTATAATATTAATCTATGTAATATATAAAATTTATGCAAATTAATATGCAAATGCATGAATGTATATAAAAAACAGATTAATCTATTAATAGTAGGATGTTAGTAATATATTATTAATATAATATTTATATAAAATCGAATTATTAATTGTTATCAGAGTACACACAATTGTTGAACGAATATATTATAATCTGCAATCAATTGTATTTAATAGGAATAATAATAGGAATAGCATTTTCACGTTTAATATATTTACATTGCATGAAATTATGTATCCATTATTCACAATAATTGGAATTAAATAAATTTTGCAATAGATCTAATGTCAGATTATAA